CTCTTCCGATCTTGGTGGTAGTAGTAGTAGTAGTAGGAGTAGGAGTAGGAGCAGGAGTAGGAGTAGGAGTAGGAGGAGTAGGAGTAGGAGTAGTAGTAGTAGTAGTAGTAGCAGTAGTAGTAATTATAGTAGTAATGCTGCTAGCCATTATTTAACATCAAGTATTAAGTAGCAAGTAATAATTTGTGAGTATTCAACAGCTGGTAGATACTAGCTCGGAGTAGTCAGTAGCTAGTGGCTACCGAGCCAGTAATAGTCGTAGCCGTACTCGTATACAGTCATAGTAGTAGAAATATTGGTAGTAGTAGTAGTAGTAGTAGTAGTAGCAGCAGCAGCAGCAGCAGCCCTGGTACGTAGTTTATAAATACTACGGAAGTATACATACTAAGTAGTAAGTTGGTAGTAACTCGTGCTTTGTCAATCAGAAAAACCAGTGAATACAGACATTGAGGGGCTCAAGCTGCTTGTTATTTTGGGAGGTTCTGGCTTCGTAGAGGTTCTAAGGATTCCGTGCCTCGGCGGTCAGGCGCACAACCTATCCGCGGGACCCGTATGTAGTCGTTTTTGCGTGTGCCTCATTTCTTGATTGGGACTCTTGTTGCAGCAGCAGTAGCCGCGTAAGTAAGGTAAAGACCAGGAACTAATGGCAGGAAAACAGTATGACGAATCAATGCCCGTAACGAGACAGATAGCCGAAAAGGGTGCCAGGACGATAAAACACGGGCAACCGCTGATCCCCCTCAGATTCTGGCCGACTTTATCCCGACCCCAGTCAGATTCCGATGATGCTGAGCGGCGACAAGGCAATACCAAGATTTCGACTGTCCTCACGGGCTTGCAGGTCTGCGGGAATGAGTTTTATTCAGGTTTTGGCTCACTCGGGTGTACTTCATTTCATGAGTTCATGTGTGACATGAAGCGATCTACTGTCCTCTATTATCGCATCTTTGATGTCTGCCCTATTTTCCCTCGCCTCTGGCTCTGCCGTGGCTGTGCTACGCAGCTAGATTGTCACAGGCGGACTTGAGGAATTGCCTAATTAGGTGTCCTGGACTTATAATATTCTTCTGCAGCGCTTGTGGAAGTAGACGAGCTGTATACAAAACGAAGTAGCCTCATTAACTACTGGCAACGTAGTCACAGAATGCGAGTGCAGACTCAACGAAGTCGTCGAAGCATTGGAAACTGCAAAGTATTGCAAACTCGCCTTTTGGTTCCCGACTACTTGCTCAAGCAAGCCTGAGACACACACACACACACACACACGCGCGCACGCACACACCAGCCCCATAATCACGGTTGCTCCTTGAAAGGGATTCGTCTTGCCGGCCTGGCATTGGAAAAGCTTCCTAACCTACCTTTTTTTAGGACTTATAAAAAGAAACCATAATAAGGGACCCTAAAAATGTAGGTTATTTGGGGTCCAGGTAGTTCCTGGACCGCTTGCTTGAGGGATGTGGCTCTTGATTTCGACAAGCAGGGTGTGCGATGTATAGGTATAGGAATACGAAGTGGCCCCTAAGATGCTACCTCCAGTGCGCATCCTTCTTGAACCTCGGTTCCGCTCTGTCTTCCTTACCCTGGAATCCAAACCGCCAGTGAAGTAATGCATGCTAATGTGAATTGAGGTCTCGACCAACGATTTCATCTGGACCATGCCCTGTAATTACTGAGTACTCATCCGATTGGCAAGGCGATATCCCTCCGACTGGGCGTGGCTTAAGGATTAAGCACAGGTCTGTGTAAGGGCTGGTGCTGGAAACGATGTGGTCCCAGAACCATCCGCTCGACGAGCCTTCCTTGGTCGATGACAGCCCCCCGCAAGCTGCCGATATCTCGATCCACTTCTCGTTGTATATGCTTGTTTTCCGATTCTGTGGCAAATCCTTCCTTCGCACTGCTGCTTGTCGCGCAAATCTAGGCCTGCTTTCAATTTCATTTTTGCTGCAAGTTCAATGCCTCGCTGGGCGAAGGTGGGTGCGGCGGTGCCAAACGCTACATCCCTGACTCTAAAGCCTGAGCTTCTGGAGCCTCATGGTCCTGGGTTCCAGATGTTGGTAATCTGCGGGCTTGCGGGCAGGGGGCGAGAATGATCCCAAGCCGAAGCCTTTTGCCAGAAACATGGGCAACTGAATCAAATTCAACATTCTCCATACGAGTACCTGCGGGACACAAACACTTAAGCAGCTTGAGAGTATCATGATCTGGTTGACCATGCCCTGAAGAGCCTCTGAAGCTAGCCTCAAAGATGAAAAACCCTCTGGCCTTAAACTCCAGACTCAAAAAACAAGAGAAACTCCCAAAGTCCCTAGACATAGCAACACGCAAGACTCCCTGCTGTCCCCTCAGCGATCAGACCCTGCGCATACTGCGCCTTGAAGGTGCCACCAGGGGAGATGGGCTCCACACCTGTTGGGACGTCGTGTCTACTGCGGCTGCATCGCAAGACGGCGCATGTGCACAAAGTGTGCACGCGGTGTAAGTACATCTTAACTTACGCTCACTAGTAGGCATGAAGGTTCTACGAATTCGGGTTCGGGGCTTCTGGCTCTCGGAAAGGTCAGGTCACAGAGTATTTATGCTGCTTTTCGCTCTGGTTGAATGGCTTTGGATCGGTTCCAAGTTCCGAAACTAAGAAGCCGACTTACTGCACAAAGAACAGGAAATGTGGAAGATATGTGTCAATGTCTTCCTTCTGCTGATCTAAACAAGCAGCAATCCCAGTCTGTCTCACATATAACAACTTCTGCACGTTCTGCTGCTTCTGAAACCTGAAGCTGCGATCTGGGCACGAGAAGTGCCGAAACAAGTTGCTACCAAAGAGTTTGCCGACACACCTGCACGTGGAGCGTAGTACTGCTACAAGTCTGCGCAGGTTCTGCACTGTTTCTACACACACAGCATAGCAAACTTCGCTGTTTGAGTCTGGGGGTGGGTCCTTCGGGGGCCAAGAGACTTCCGGACCTTCCACAGCCACATCTGGCCTTCTGAAACCATGGCTATGGAGAGCTATGGAGAGGCAACTAAGACTCTTTGATAAATTACCACTACCGCTGTCGTACTACTGTGACCAATGCTATCATCCTTATGGCTCTCAGCTTTAGGGTTTACCTACAGTCTCCATTGTAGTCCCTTTTTTGGTTTAACCAATTGTATATTAAGGAATTTATAAGGTATCCCCAAACAGGAACTACAATGGAGACTATAGGTAGGGCTATGTATCGCTCCAAAAGATGCTCCGGAAATCACAGCAGGGGCGGCTCCTCGAAGGAAAGGCGGAGTTGGCTGTTGTGCCGGGGTGGTCCTGGGACACTACGAGTGTCTTAGGGTTTAGGGTTTAGGGTTTAGGGGGGGGTTTTCTTCACGCATCGACTTCAGGGCCGAGTAGCGGGTTGAGCCCGAACGCAGGAAATACCAGTACTACCCCTACCCAGGGGCCCAAGTGCAGCTGCCGTATTTCTGGTTCCTGCGACACACATGAAGAACGGAGGCTAGGTCATCGCACGATCATTACGCTTGTCTGGGTAGCTGGACATATGAACAAGGCTTGGTGTGCTGTTTTCAGCAAGCGACTTCAAGGAAACACAATCAACGAGCTTCGACCTTCGGCAGCTTCCGAAAGAAGCGACTAGAAACCCTACACACGCAAAATCACGCAAACTTCCGAAACATCCATGACCACCGGCATTCTCCTGGGACGATCCAGTGTCAGAGGCATCGGTGCCTCGAGTTTTTCGGCTTTGACCAAGGAGGAGCTGCGAAATTGCGGACCTTGCCCTTTGGGCTTGGGCTTTCGCGCTTTGTGGTTCGGGTTCCAGGATACTGGGTTTGAAGATTTTGCAGTTCGAGCTACAAGCACAGTTGAAGCCCTCCGATTTGAGCGGCGATGTGCGGTGTAGGGGGGGCAAGCCGAAGAACACCTCGAGCTCTTCTTTCGGCACACGTCTGATCTGCATGCATACACCCATCTCGCGAGATGGCTGTGCTACACATAGCCGATTCTTGTCCAGCACTCTTGTGAAGCAAGCTTGCAGCATGTTGCTGGGAAACACAGGACCTCTACGCTAAGTTGTGCGGCTCCGGTGCAGGTGCTCGAGACCTCTCCAACAGGAAACCAGTACTGTAGTTTCTACATCGCCAAACACCAGAATTACCAGAACGAGGTGTTCTTAAGGAATTGTCTGAAGCACAAAACCGATGCGCGACCTGTCCACTGGCGACCTTCGCCTGGTTGTGGGACATAGCTTGTCGCAGCACCTCTGCTAAGGCAAGTGCCCCAAAATGCCTCAGAGGGTTGAACTTGCAAATGTCGTCCGAGCTTCTCTTAGTCTGCCGAGGAGCACCAATACCTCCTTAAGTCTAGAACCCACCACCATCACATTTATGACTTGCCATGCCAAACCCTCGACAAACTTTGGGGTCCTTAAGTCGACCTGGCAAGCAGGCAAGGGACATCCTTCAGTAGCTGCAACTAACATCCGCATGCCGACGACACGACGGTGACTACTGCTGCTACTCCTGCTTGTTGCTGCGGCTGATATTGCTGCTGGTGCAACATCTATTTTCGCTAAACCCTGAATCCTGATGATCCTGATGTCCCACATCGCCAGCTGCAGGCCTCGAGGGTTTCGTCGTCCGAATCTCCTGCTGGTCTTGGTCCCAGTAACGGCTCGCGAAGCCTGGACTGCTTGTCTTCAAGTTGAACTGATGTTTTTTGCGACAAGTCGGACCTATCGCTTGGAGTGCCGACGTCATCGAAACGACAGCCTCCCTTGCAACTCTGCTGACCTTCGTGGGGGGCCGAAAGGCTCGAAGACCATGGAAAGAGCAGTAGGCTCGCAGAACCCATATTTTCCTAAGTGTTTTTTTGTAAGACGGCATCGGCGTCAGCCTTTGTCAAGCTCGTTTACTAAGCTCCTCACGTGGGCGTGGAGGCTGCGGACCAATTCCTTCAGCACAAGCTAGAAGCAAAAGATTAAGTTTCCACCTCGCCCTTGTGCTTCGTGATAAAGATCGGTCAGACGAAAACGCACGCCCAAGAATGTCAACTCGTGGCTTGCTCGCTAGCTATCGTACATCCAGGCGTCGAACAAATCGTCGCTGCAGCATGACGAGAAGTGATGCTGATAGGACTTGGGGCGGCGCGGGGGGTGGTGGCGGGTGGTCGTGGGAGCAACGATAGGTGTCGTAGTCTCGTAGAAACGGCTGAAGAAGCTAGTAGCAGCTCACAGGACGTCGGCTTGTAGATAGTGTGTAGCGTTGGCGATGGTGGCGGTGGCAGTGGTAGTAAAAGAAGCAGCAGCAACAAGACTAGCCATAGAAGTAGCAAGTGTAGTAGTAGTAGTAGTAGTAGTAGTAGTAGTAGTAGTAGGTAGTAGGTAGTAGGTAGTAGGTAGTAGGTAGTAGGTAGTAGGTAGTAGGTAGAAGGTAGTAGGTAGTAGGTAGTAGGTAGTAGGTAGTAGGTAGTAGTTAGTAGTAGTAGTAGTAGTAGTAGTAGTAGTAGTAGTAGTAGAAGTAGCAGTAGTAGTAGTCGTA